TTGTGTTCATAACTATTTATTTGAGAAAAAATCATTTATTTGTTAACCCCTTTTTTTGTTTTATATCAGAAACAAATCCATGCGAGGTAAAGCCATTGAGAATATAGTCGCACCCAACATTTGATCTTGCCCAAATATAAGAATTGGAAGATCTAACATATGATCTTCATGGACTAATTAATTTTTATTTTAATATTTTGTCTAAATAATATAATATTCTGGGTAAACATTGTAGTTTGTAAACAAATTATTTTATTAATATTATGTTTAAACAATGTGACAAGTCAAATTAAAAAAATATATATCTTACCCCTCGATTTTTGGATAAACTGGGAGGTATAACGCGTCGTTTTAGTAAATAATAAAAATGCAGATGATGGGGTTCGAACCCATGATCATATAACTTTACCCCTCGGTTTTCTTTATCTGAGGTGATAAGTGACATCTTTTCATGTCACCCTTCGTTACGCCACCTAGGTATCCAAGGTTAAATTTTTCTCGTGTGCGATGTTATAAGCGTTATTTGTAGTAGTGAGAAAGCCCTAGAGAAGAAAGGGGTTAGGATTGCATATATTTGAGTTATCCAAGATATGTATGAAGAGCTATCGACTAATGTACGAATACAAGGGGGATAGGTAAATGATTTCTCCATTACAATAGGTTTTCGTCAAGGTTCAAACCCTAAGCCTCTACCTTTTTACTTTAAATTTATATATACTCATGGAACATATCCAAGAGCTAGCACTGAGATGCATGTTTTTTGCAAATCGTGTAGTCATACTTGGAGAGTCGGAGGAAGATTTAAATGAGAGGCTGAAGACTTAGAGACGAACTTTAGAAACATATTGCTTTTGCCTAAGTAGAAGTTAGACGCGGTATATGGAATGTAAGTTTAACAAAATAAAAAATGATAACCTATAGGTAAATTTTAGAGACTATATCATCCCACAAGTCAAGAGATTTTAATATCTTGGGTCCGTAATACTAAACGATAGAGAAATATAAGAGGATGTAAACCATTGAATCCAAGCTAAGTGGATGAGATGGAGGACTTCAAGAATTTTATGTGACACAAAGTTACCGCTTAATCTGAAGGAAATGTTTTTATCAGAATGTTGTTAGGCTTACAATGTTGTACGAGATAGAACGTTGGGCGGTTAAGAATCAACGCGATAATAAAGTTAGTGTAACAAAGATATGGATGTTATGTTGGATGAGTGACAAGATTATACATGATAACATTAGAAATGACAATATTAGATAGAGTGTTAAGGATAGCATCTATAGTAGAAAAGATGGTGGAAACTAGATTTATGTAGTTTAAGCATGTAGAGAGAAAACTAGTAGATTCTATGACAAAAATAATATATCAGATGAAGAGAAGTCATACAATAGAGGTATAGGAAGACCTAAATATCTATAAGAGAAGTTATTAAAAAAGATTTTGAGATTAATGATTTAGATATAAGCATGATCCTAAATAAAATATTATGATTTAAATTGATCTATGTAGCAGAGTTCACTTAGTTAATAAAATTTGAGTATTATTGATTATAAATTTATATTGAAAAATATATAATTATCCCAAAACACCGTATAATAAAATAACAGAAACAACAACACTTTAAGAAAGGTTTGTAAAATCTGAGCAAAATATTACTTCTGATCTTTCATTCATATATATATATATATATATATATATATATATATATATATATATATATATATATATATATATATATATATATATATATATATATATATATATATATATATATATATATATATATATATATATATATATATATATATATATATATATATATATTAGATTCATTAAATAATCAATGTATCTAAACTATGTAATAGATCAAATCCAATGATTATTTATTGAATAAATAATAAAGAACAATAATTTATAAAATTAACTTTTTTCTGTAATCTAAATAAAATAATTGAAAATGAAACTCAATATATAAATAGAAAGAAAAAAATATAAAGAACATGTTCATAATTAAATGGCGGTAAAAAATATGGTAATTAATATTAATTTAAGAATAGTTAAATGAAATAGTAAAAAATACTAAATAAAGACATCCAAGTGCATAATATTTTTCATAGTTAGAGATGACAATTATATTCATCTCTAACCCTAATGGATATTCATAAAAATTAACTACAATAAATAAGATAAAAATTCACAAAATGGATACGAGCATGGGCACGAAAAATTATCCACTAAAATAAATGGATATGAGTGTTGGTACAGATATTTTAGTACTTAGTCCGCCTCATACCCGCACAATATATATTTATATTTTTTATTTTCATTATTATATACACATATTAACCTAACAATTTTATTAAATACGTCACTGTTAAATTTCTACGCATTTTAATATAAATGTTTGTTTATTTATTAACTCTACAATAACATATTCAATTTTTTAAAATGTTGTTAAAAATTAAAATGACATGATAAATTATAATTGATCAATTACTTTTTTTATTAGAAATGAGGATAAACAGATATGAGTATGGGTTCTTAGGTATCCATAGGATATAAATACGGGTACAAATATTGGTGCCCATGCGGTTACATTCGGGTTCGGGGATTTTTTTTAACTTTTGGAGACGAGTATTATAGTATCCTACCCAAACTCTGTCCATTGTCATCCATATTCATAGTGGCGAATTCAATAACTTTGTATGGGGAAAAAAACAATTATATAAAAAATTCAAAATACTTAATTATAATATTGGTTTCCTAAATTTCACATCATTTATCAAATTAATTTTTTATTTTAAATTTAAATAAATTTATTTCCCATCTCTTATTTTAGCATTTAAAATTAATTTTATATATATATATATATATATATATATATATATATATATATATATATATATATATATATATATATATATATATATATATATATATATATATATATATATATATATATATTAATTACTATATATTATAAGTGTAAAAAGTTTAATAATGTCCGTTAATCACCATATTACTTTATTAATTATTAAAATAAAAGTCAAACTTTTCATAACATCTAACGGTTAAGATTGACTGACGGTGTGACTGTCTTTAAAAAATAAACATACCATCAATTTTAAAAATGTGAGAAAGAAGTCAAAACTATTTTAATTTAAAATATAGATACTATTTTCATGAATGAGATAAAATAAAATTGCTAAAAGTGTAATTAAACCAACATTTTCCAATAATATTTTAATGAGCATTTTTTTAAGAATTATGTTTGTAATTTTTATAATATGATTATTAAACAATTAAATGCTAAGTATAAAAAAAATAGTACACATAAAAACAAAAGAAATTTACGTGTTTCTTTTTTAAAGAAAAAATCGTAAAAAAAAAAAAATTTAAGTACATTTTTAAAAATTATTATTTTATATTATTAATTATTTTACTATGAGTTTTTATGGATATTAAAATATTAACAAATTACTTAAATTTAAAGTTTATTTAATTTCTTTTTTGCTTAATTTCAGTTATTTCCTCTTATTTTACTTAATTCACGAAATTAATGTTCATATTTTAAATTTAAATAGTTTTCGTCCTTCTATTTTAAATTAAAATAATTTTGGTCTTCTCTCATACTTTTAAATTTAAAATTAATAATGTTTTTTATTTTTTAAAAGATAAATTGTTTGTAAAACATGACAAATCATTGAATATAAATTTATTATTGAACTTTTTAGATAAATTTATAAGTTAAAAAGCAAAAAATGTCATTGATTTTATATGGAAAAAAAATATGAGAGGAAAATTAAAACTTTTTGAATTTAAGATATGGACTGATTTCCCGAATCAAACAAAATCGGAAGATTAAAATAGTAATTTAACATTTTTTAAAACATATCTTTTTAAAAAGATATAAAATTGTATATAATGTATGTTTATATTATTGAATGTGAAAATTTATTTTCAGTTATAAAAATTGATTTAAAATAAATTTTATTATTAAAAACAAAAGTATATTACTTTAAAAAAATCATATAAAGAATTGATTTAAATTATTTTTTTATAAAATATTAATTTTATTATTTCGTCATTTATAGTATTTTTTAATATAAATTTTGTGAACAATCACTTGAATTTAAAGTTATGTTGAATAACTTTAAAATGATATCATTTTAAAAGTACATTTTTAAAAATAAGTTATTTTATAATTATTTTAAATCTCCAATAATATATATTTATATTATTAAATATCAAAATGAATATTTTATTTTATAAAAAGTGAATTTAAAATAACTTATATCATTTTAATAAAAATTTTCCAAAAATAAAAATAAAAATAATACAAAGAGAAAATCACTGTTATAAAAATCTAAAATAGACCTTAGTTCGATTAATCTATTTTTTTAAATATACTAATTTCCAATTTAAGTAATTGTTTTTAAAGTAAATTTAAAAAAAAAATACTAAGTTGATCATGAGTCAAGGAAAAAATATTTTTTTAATGAAACTATTTTTTTAAAAATGACATGCATTCTATCAGTAAAGCCAAATAAAAAAGTATTTAAAAGCATTAAACAAAATTTTAATTACAAACTACTGAAGTTAAAAAAGGAAAAAGAAGCAGCATATTCCATTCCGGTGAGGCAAAAGACACTCTGTGAATGTGACTGAAAAAAAATAATAAATAAAAAAATAAAAAGAACCAATCAATAATACTCAATAAATAACAATAATAATTAAAATAAAAAATTGATGGTAGATGGAAAAATCTATCACCAGAACTCTGACTATAAAGTAACCTCTTTATCTCTACACTCATTGCCCTTCTCTCTCTCTTACACTCTCACTCTAGAAAGAATGCCTCTATTCTGAAGGCATTCTTTTGTTCCAAAATTCTGAACAAGTTTTGATTTTTTATTTATTTTTGACAGTGTAAAGAGAAAGAAAGAGAGAGATCTTGCATTTTTTTTGTTGAATTAAGTTTTTTTGAGTTAAAAAAATGGTTGAATCAGAACCAAAATTTTATATCCCAGAGTCATTTCAGGTGAACTATGATGTGTCAAGTCAATTTAAGATGATATGGAATGTGATGAAAGCACCATTGATTGTTCCTTTTTTGAATGCTTGTGTTTACATTTCATTAGCAATGGCTCTTATGCTTTTCATGGAGAGAGTTTATATGGGTATTGTTATTGTTTTGATTAAACTCTTCTGGAAAAAACCTGAACAACGTTATAACTATGAGCCTCTTCAAGACGATGAAGAACTCGGTGGCTCTAATTTTCCAGTTGTTCTTGTTCAAATTCCAATGTTCAATGAAAGAGAGGTCAGAACAAGATTCTCTCTGTTCTTTTGTTCTTTCTTGTACTTTTTTCTACTATTCTTAATTTTTTGTTTTGTTTTTTGGTACAGGTGTACAAGGTTTCCATTGGAGCTGCTTGCGGGCTTTCGTGGCCGACGGATCGACTCGTGATCCAAGTTCTTGACGATTCTACGGACCCTGTTGTTAAGGTATTGTTTTCCTCCGTGCGCAATTGCAGAGACTAAATTTTGAGATGTGAAAACAATGAAGTTAAATTTTGTAATTTACTAGTAAGAATGATGTTGACTAAAGAAGTGGATGAATTTGATTTAATGATGAAATGAATGGGACATTAAATGAGAGTGTACGTTTTTTTTGTTGGTGTTATTATTCAAATTAGAAATGAATAATAATAAATTTATTTTTGTGGGAATGAATATAATGCAGCAAATGGTGGAGATGGAATGCCAAAGATGGGCGAGTAAAGGAATAAATATAACATACCAAATCAGAGAAAACAGAGTTGGTTACAAAGCTGGTGCATTGAAAGAAGGATTAAAACGTAGCTATGTTAAACATTGTGAATATGTTGTTATTTTCGATGCTGATTTTAGTCCACCACCTGATTTTCTTAGAAGAGGCATTCCTTTTCTTGTTGGAAATCCTGAACTTGCTCTTGTTCAAGGTCGTTGGCGCTTCGGTAAGCACCACTTTTTACAATTTCACCTTATAATGTGTTTTACACAACTATCAAATATTTCAGTACAATTATCGACTAACCTAATTTGGGACAAATTCTGGAATTTTATGTCTCAATAAATATCTGAGTTGGTTTATAATTTATAATGCTATTTGATAAAAAAAATTACTTTTGGTAAAGTGTGAGATTGATAGTGTCGGTGGGGAAGTGGTATTTTGGTAAATTAGGGGTGATGTTGTTTTTTATATTGATTTTGTAGGAGAGTGAAGTTTTGATATTTTTTCTTTCCAATTTTGTCCTTGTTTGACTTGGGCTGGCCCGATTAAGGGGAATGGGTGGGTCCACGAAAACATACCCTTCAATCACGGGTAGGGAACACGACGAGTTATCATACTTTATGATTAGTATAAAAAGTATAATAATTAATATAAAAATTAAAAAGTGGAAGATTATTAGTCACAAAAACAAATGAAAAACAACAACTAGTAATACTAATAACGTTACAAAGAAATATGGGCGGCTATCGTAATTATTCCTTTGTACTTGTTCATTTTTTTCCGTTACAAATTTACAAAGTAGGGTCATGAAGGGTAATTTCGTCAATATAATTTACAGATCCAATGTGGGTCAATTAAAAAACAACACCGGGTCCAATTCTTATCATGTGAAAATTATTAGGTAGAAAATTAGTATTTGACTGTTACAAGTTGAGAAATTAATTGAATAAAAAACTGAAAATGTAATTAAATGTAATTAATTAAAACAAGTTTCAACTGAGGGGTAAAAAGGTCATTTTCAGAATGGATCCAAAGATAACTGTTTTGTAGTAGTTCCAGCAAATGCACTTCCCACGTGGTTTTGCAGTATTTTTTGGGTTAAGATTAAAAGCATAGAATAATAATGTGTCAGTGTGGGTAGCACCATGTGTCTTATGGTGGACCTTACTCATTCTTGCCGACACTTCACTATTCCTTTTTCCTCTTTTTATTATGTCATTTCATAACACATAGTAACAAAACAGTTACAGTATCAAATTTTTTAATAATATTAAAATTATTTGGTTAGGTACTATTTTTATTTAATTATTTTTTTTATATAAGTGGTAGTAGAAGTAGTAGTAGTGGTGTTAGTTTAATTAGGTTTTCTTTATAATCTTATCATTCTTATATTATATTTATTTTTGTAAATTTTTTAATAAAATTAAAATTTGATTTGTTTATGTGGGGCCCACGGAAGCTGACTTTTGCTTTGTTGTACCTTTTGGTTGGCCACCGTAACGGAATTATGCATTTGTCCTGTTATTGTGTACTTATCTTACCTAATTAAAAAGTTAATTAATTAAGCAAAACTTAAAGTAAAAAGTCAAAACATTTGAGTAATTTTTTTAACATTTAGTTATATTTATCTTGTAATGATTGAATAGTTGCAAATTAAGGTTGTGTTATATTGTACTAATGTTGAATGTTTTTTTTTGTGACAGTGAATGCTAATGAGTGTTTGTTGACAAGAATGCAAGAGATGTCTTTGGATTATCATTTCACAGTTGAGCAAGAAGTTGGTTCAGCTACTCATGCTTTCTTTGGTTTCAATGGTAAATAATTCGATTTATAGCTTTTGTTTTTTCGATATCAATTGTTGGTAGTTGTTAGTCGTGTTAGTGTGTGGATTCAAGCACATGCACTAGTATTGTCACTTCAAATCGTAGATGTGTCTGGTGTCTGACACGATCTGGCATGTGTAATCAATCACATTCAATCTCTTTTGTTTTTTCAAATTATTTATCGGTGTCTACATGTGTAATTACTTGCTGATGATTGATGTTTGAAAATGTGAATGCAGGGACTGCTGGTATTTGGAGAATAGCTGCTATCAATGAAGCGGGAGGGTGGAAAGACAGAACAACAGTTGAAGATATGGATCTCGCTGTCCGAGCAAGTCTTAGGGGATGGAAATTTTTGTACCTTGGTGACCTCCAGGTGAGAATCACCTATTCTAAACAACATAAGTTAACTACATTATAGATTACGATTACGAATCATACCATATAATGATTCTATTCTTAGCTTAGATCTTCTGCAACAGTCCAATCTGATGCAGAAGATCGTGCTAGTAAGTTATAACATAGTATATATTTATCAAAGTAATTTTCTTTTTTATAAATAGGCAAACAGCGAACTTCCAAGTACTTTGAGAGCCTTCAGATTCCAGCAACATCGATGGTCTTGTGGTCCGGCTAATCTGTTCCGCAAAATGGCAATGGATATTATAAGGAACAAGGTATGTTTGTGTTGATTAAACAACAAAGAGACAAGAAACTAGTTTTTGGTATTTGTTCTGAATTTTGATGAAATTCTGTTTTGGTTTTTGTTCTCATCTTTGCAGAAAGTGAAGTTTTGGAAGAAAGTGTATGTCATATACAGCTTTTTCCTTGTTCGTAAAATCGTAGCTCACATGGTCACTTTCTTCTTCTACTGTCTCGTAATTCCTCTCACGATTTTGGTTCCCGAGGTTTATGTTCCAATTTGGGGAGCTGTTTATATTCCTTCCATCATCACCATTCTCAACTCCGTCGGAACACCAAGGTATAGCTAATTATCTATCACATTATCGCGGTTCAATTCAAACTCACTCTCAATCCAAACAAAACATGTTTACATTGTGAATCCGTCAAACTCACCGTGTGTAACTCTGCCAGGTCGATTCATCTTTTGTTCTATTGGATCCTTTTCGAGAATGTCATGTCTCTGCATCGTACCAAGGCGACCCTTATCGGTTTGTTAGAATACGGAAGGGCCAACGAATGGGTTGTAACCGAAAAACTCGGAGATTCCGTTAACAACAATAAAGTCAAATCTGATGCTGCTGCCAAGAAGGGCCATGTCAAGGTTCAAAAGAAAACAAGATCCAAATTTATGGAAAGGTTAGTTTTTATTATTTTACATCTTCATTGTGGCTGTCACTTGTCACTCATACAAGCTGGCATTAAGGGAATCTTATAGTTTGGTCTATAATTTGATGATTGAAGAAAATAATAATGTACACTATGATTGTTTTGTTGTTTCTAGTGACTAATTTTTTTCTTATTCTTCATCTTGTGATTTTGTCAGTTTAAGAATTATTGAGTTGGTAGGTATAAACATTTCTTCAAATTGTTTTTAATTCCAGTTGTTTATAAGAACCTTGCTATGCTATGTTAATCAAAGTGTTTCTGACATAATGCACATGAACATGACAGAAGATTCTATAAAACCCCAAATTAGAAATATTGTAGAATGAGATCATAATATTATAATGTTATGTTTTGCAAATTTTTTAGTGATTTTGATTCCAAACAAGGGAAGATTTTGTGCTACTTTTATACACTAGTTAACTATTAACTACTATTTTGAAGCATTGTCTATGTTACACTCGTTTAGATTAAAAACGTATATGATGTCTAATATGTTTTAGTGTCTGACACAAACATATGTGATTATATTTCTTTATATTGTTTGTCAATATTTCATAGACGATACGTGTCAGCGTTTCAGTGTCTGTGTTGTGTCTGTGTCTCAGGGTCTCATTATACTATTAATTAATTGATGTATGGTTTGTTTGCTTTTTCTTATTTGAACATAAACAGGCTAAATTTGTTGGAGCTGGGATTTGCAGTCTTTCTCTTCTTCTGTGGATGCTATGATTATGTGCATGGAAAACACAACTACTTTATTTACCTCTTCCTTCAAACCTTAACCTTCACAATTGTAGGATTTGGTTATGTTGGAACCATAGTGTAAAAGCTCTTTTGAGCCACAATCCTTAAAGTGTCATAAGTGTCGTGTCGATATTGTCGAGTACAAGAAGGGGGCTGAATTTCTTCGAACGCCGCACCAAATCTACAGTTAAAATTAGGGGAAGGAGAAGTTCTTTCCAATTAAGGTTTTCAGTTGTCATCAATCAATCAGATACAAATAATGATCAATGAAGTACAATAGCTTGAAGACAATCATGAAGATCTATCAAAAAAGTGCTTAAATTTTTAGAGCTTTTAGACTGTTAGATAGTGTGGTTTTGTTTGCATAGATTGTTTTGTGAGATTTTTACAGTTATATAGTATTTGTTGGTCTTTTATTTATTAGTTTTACTAAATTTGTGACATTGAATAATTTGGTGGATAAATTATGCACTTTTGATACTTGTTAGTATATGTCATTTTTTCTTACAATGTTTACTCTATGTTGTCATGTTTCAAGAGTATAGTTTTATTCACTCACACACTTATGCTTAATTCTTTTAGAACTTTTAATGTTACAAATCTACCTTCCACACTATATAATTTATTCCAAAAATGGATGAGAGACTAAAATGATAGTTGTGGAAGAGTTTCTCTACCATAGTAGAAATTTCATCTGAGAATGAGGATATCTGTAAAGTTAACATTCTACGGTTAATAAGAAGAATATTTTGGTGTGACTCAGAGTCACCTTTATATTGCAGTCGTTTGATGCATTTCAACCATAGGGATCAGATCGGTCAGGTATCTTAGTGCAATGCTCTTTAGAGAAAGTACATATTTGTCGTTAATCATTGGAGTGCTTTGTTTGATTGGGCCGGTTTTATTGGATATTTAGCCAGCCCAAAACACATTTAATTATTCTCATTAGTCAAAAATAAAATGTCATTTTCTTCTTTTTATTACTTAATAGACATATTACTATGTGAAAAAAGCATGGGATACCATTTTTGAGATTTTTGTCATAGCTTCACTACATTATAAAAACAAACATTTAAGATAAGAAATCACATGCAAAAGATCATGTGGTGTTTGTTGTATTTATACAAAAAGTATAAAACCAAACCTCAATCATAATTTCTTTCCATCTGTAGACTTGTGCGTCCACACACCAATATTCTTCTACCATTTGTCTTCATCCAATTGGCTTAAATCTTTTTAGCCCTATCACAACCTTTTTCTCAACAATGTCTTTTAAGGCATGATGATGTTCTTTTTACAACAAAGGATCCTTTTGGGTTTTACTAAAAGATTAAAAAATATCAATGTAGCTTCTTTAGGGTATACTCTCATGTAACCTGTGATGACATGAATCATGAATTATCATTTTTGTTACTTCAAGCAAAAGTGTCTCTGTCTGTGAACCTTTTCTTTATCACTTTATAATTTAACTAAAGTAGTTACTAAATTAATTTTCTTTGATATTTTTGGAAATATGGGTGAGAAAACAGATCTAACATAAAACAGATCTAACATAACATATTGTTCGTTTTTGTTTTGCTTACATTTTTTTTAGGAGAGATCAAAATTTTAAATTTGCATCTTCTAATATGTTTGTTTTATTTTTTATTTTTGGAATTTTGTTGTCGCAAGCATTAATACACATTTTTGTAATTTTTAAGCAAGAGTAGTATTTGCGGCCCCGTTCAACCCACTCTCATTTTTTTTAGACAAATAAAAATTTTAAAACCACATTCTTAACTATGTTGTCACGCTCTATTCTAATTTTTATTGACTTTTGTGAAACGGATCGAAACGGAACAGACATAGCATATTTTTATCCTTTAATTAAAAATGCATGTCACAATGATTGTACTCTTTATTTGATAGAAACTTTCAAGATATGAGTTTTTTTTTTCTTTCTAAAGCTTGTCTTAATGCTATAAAACAAGGGTCAAACACAAAGCAACAGCTAACTCTTGTTTCTTACACAACATATTCATGTTAAGCAGAAATACTATATTTTTCTTTGCAAGCTGGCTTTTCAAGTTTCAACCTTTGTTCCATGTCATCAGATTGCTTCACTTATATTGTATTGTTTCTCAATTTCAACATAGAATCAGATCCTCCCTATGTCCTATAATCTTAGCTGTCATATATCCAAGCATTGATTCCAAAGCATTTTTTATATTATTTGAAACACTTCTTTATTATTTGGGAGTTTATAGAATTTTATAGATATTATAAATGGTTATGTGGGTTTAATTTGTTTTTTAACCCAATTATCAGCATAAGGTCCAATCATCAATATCAAAACTAGTTGGTATTTTGTGTACATGCTCAGTTGTTTATTTTTAGTTAATTTTTATTAATTTAGAGGGTGTAAAAAAATTGTTGTTTCATTAGATGATAGGTTAAAGATAACAACGATTGCAAATGTACATGATTAAGACAAACTCAATCATATCAGTTACAAACATAAATAATATAATAAGTTAATATTTATAAAACTCAATCATATCAGTTACAAACATAAATAATATAATAAGTTAATATTTATAATACTTTTCCTTAATTTATCACACTCACACCTAAAAGAATTATGAGTTTTTAAAATGCATCCACTTTCAATGATTTTGTTATTATATTGGTAATAAGATATTCACTAATGTAATAGGAAAGTTCAATCACTCAATTCTTAGGGAGGTTCTTGATGAAGTGATATTGCAGATATGTGCTTGTTTCTTTCATGTATAACATGATTTTTTTTGACAATTTTATAGCAGAACTATCATTACAATAAATTACAGTAGCTTTATCTTTCTGTTTCTGTTGCAAATTTAGCTTCTAAGAATTTTTTTGAGTTATAGGGCTTGACATGCACAAACTGTTGCTGCAACATATTTTGTCTCGATGGATGATAAAGTGACTATTGAGTGTTTCTTTGATGATTAAAAGATTGCTCCTAATCCAAGTACAAAAATATATTTTGATGTACTCTTTTTATCATCAACATTTCCAACATAATTGTTATTTGTGAAACCAACTAAATATGAATTTTCTCCTTAACATAGAAAATCTCAAAATCAACGGGACCTCGCAAGTACCTAAGAGATCTCTTTTGCAACTAAGAGATGACTTTCCTTAAGATTTTTTATATATATGCTGATCAAACTTATAACTTACATAATATCAGGATATGTGGTTGAGGGAGTGTGTAGTGATATATTTGTAAGGACTCTCAAAGAGAGTGATAAATATCTTTGTTGGGTGTTCGCCCTACAAGATGTTGTCCAAGGTGTATTGTTTATGTGGCATGTGGGTTCTCCCTAAGAGGAAGACATCAGTAATATCGTTCATCAATCTTCTTGGTATATGTGTCAAATCAAATCATGACTCCCTAAAAAATAAGCAATCAACAGCCTCCCTCAATTAAGGGAGAGCGGTTACCACTTCTTAGGGGTTCCTAAATTCTAGATTCATAAGTCTTTATAAATACCTCAACCTTGAGGAAGATAGATAATAACTTATCCAGAATAATGCATAAACACAAAGCTTCTCATCTCACATGAACTTGTTCTCTCCATAGCAAAAAAAAAATACCACCAAACAGGACCTCTCGCCATCGCGGGTTAAGCTCTAACCACTGTAAAAATACTAAGGTCTCTAGTTAGCACTATCAATTTAGGGGTACCATGCACTCTTGTACTTTTTGACGAGTACAAATTTAAAGTACAAAAAGGCACCAAAAATTACTTTTTTACTAGATTGTACGTTAAAAATTACAACGATTACAAACGTTTAATAGAGCTAGGAACCACCAACAAGTATTCTTAAGATTTAGGTATCCACTAATGACTCCATTAAATATCCTTAAATTAAATATCCTTAAAGAATAAGTGAAACTCAAACAAACCAATTACAAATATAAATAATATAATAAATTAATATTTCTAACATAATTCTCATTACCTTGTTAGCTAAATGAAGCACATATTGAGAATGTAATTCAATTTTAGTAACAAGTTGTTTGTGTTACAAATGAGTGACTTGCAACACAAACTAACTGTCACAAATGATAGTTTATGTAAATTAGTTAATCAGTTAGTTTTCTAACTATATATATTTGTCAATCTTATAATTCAATTAATGTCAATAATAAAAAATCTCTTTATTTTCTAATTTCACTTTTCACCCCCTCTAATTTGATCACTACTTTTCTTTGTGTTCATTACTTTCAGAATCAAGTAATCCTAACAAATTGGTATCAAGAGCTTGTTCAACCCAAGATTCCATCAATGGAAAAAAGAAGTACAACCTTTAATCAAATCCTTATAAATCTATCAATTTTTAAAGAAGAGCATTATGATAGATAAGGCCTACAGATGAAGGTCCTATTCAAATTTCAAGATGTTCTTGAAATCGTGAATGATAGATTATCTGCATTGGAAGTCAATGCAATTGATGCACAAAAGTTTGTTTATAGTGAATTGAGCGAGAAGGATGGGAAAGATTTATTCTTGACTCATCAATGTGTGGATCTAAACATCTTTGAGAAGATTATTAAAGAAGAAATGACTAAGGGTGTGTGGGTTGTGCTCATAAATTTGTATGGATGTAATGAATAATTAAAGAGTGCGAAGTTGGAATATTTTATAAAGCAATATTAAAACACGCAGATGAATAATGATGAGGCAGTTCCATATTTCTTTTCAAGCTTGCTGTTGTTGACCAATCAAATGTAGTTTTGTGGTGATAAGATCATTAATTGCAGAATGTTGAGAAAGTCTTGAGAGACTTAACTGCAAATTTTGATCAAATAGTTGTGGTAATTTGAATAATTTAATAACCTATATGAAATTTGAAGAGTTGTAAGCATCATTTGAGACCCATAAGATATGGTTGAAGTATAGTAACTCTAAAAAGTTCATAGAATAATATCTATAATCTAAGTTCTTCAAGTAGATGAAATAAGATACCTTAAATTTAACAAAGGAAAAAAGAAAAGTGGAATAAGAAGAAGTGGAATGATGGTGTTGGCAATAACTCTTAATCAAGGAGAGA